CCGGCGAGGAGCAGAATGACACGAGGTAAAAAGGGACGGGACAGAAGCACAGGAGCAAACGGGTGGCACTGGGTTTGCAGACACAAGTGCACACGGCGCAACGCCTGCCTGTAAATGGCCTGGAGGGACGCAAGTGCTTGAAACCTGACTGCAGGAGTTCATTCCGGACAGAAGCAGCGATACAGCAAAGAATTCAGCGTACAGCCACGTTTGCAGGGGAACAGTGCGGGTCGCCCAGGCTCAGACTTGGCTCTCGGTCAGAAGAATTGCTCTTCTCCCGGCCCCCCGACTGCAGAGATGCCCGGCGCTGCTGCCGCTGGATGTCACCAGAGAGCGGGGCCGTCCCCTCGGAGCTCCGCTCCCCGTAGGCTGCAACCCGCGGGCCGCTCCTGCAGCTTGGAGAGCGCAGCGCTACCCGGAGGGCACTGCGGTACCCGCACGGCAGCCGCACACGGGCGCGTTTCATTCGGCACTGAGCCGGGATGTGGAGGGCACCAGGGGGCACCGGGCGCTGGCCCAGGTTGCAGGTCGCCATCAAAGTCCTGCGCAGGGCACGGAACAGAATGAAGGGCCGGGTGCTCAGCTCAGCCTCGCTCCTGCTCGCCCTCAGCTAAACGGGAAGATCCACCGCTGGATCCAAACCTGCTTGCTGTAAAATGGCATTCCGCCATTCCCAGCAGAGCAATGAGAGCTGCTGGACTGAACCCACAGCCAGGAGTCAGCCCAGCAGAGCGAGCCAAAGTACTGCTGTATTTTCCAGCTCCTCTGCCTCGTCTCCAGGAAGAATGCCGGCATGTTTGATTTTTGTTTCTTCCTCCTGTTTCCTCCAGTCATCATAGCAACTGCTTGTGAGCAGAAAAAGCACCATTCCCCATCTCTCTGCATAGGTAACGATGGAGGAGTACACATAGGGAAAACTTGTGCTTGAAGCTAAACATCAGAAGTACGGATCTAAGTGGTCAGCGTGGTGGTTCTCCTCGGGATTAGGGCTGCCAGCAACCAGCTCTGCACTCGCTCAGACCACTTCTGCAGAGCAGGCCACACTGACGAGATGCTCTTCCAGATCTCACACTGTTTCTGCTAGAAAGGGGGCTTGTCAGCTGCCCCAGGCCTGGAATTGTTCAAGGCCAGCTTAGATGGGGCTTTGGGCAACCTCATCTAGAACAAGTTGGCAATTGGTCATCTTTAGGTCCCTTCCAGCCCAAATCATTCTACAACTCTATTCCATGACTCTAAAAGCTGCTTGCTTTGATGCCGTTTGCAATGGCAAGGCAAGTTTGCCTAGGAAGCCAAGGACAGAAGGGCAGGAATGAGCAGTCGAGGAAGGGAGAAGCTCACATTCAGAGGGATCACGGTGAACCCTGTGGGTCTCACACATAGCTGAGCCACTGCAGGCCTGCTGGCCCAGCAGCCTTGGACAGTCAGGCTGAGCTGGATTCTCATAGAACCACAAAAATTAAAAAAAAAAACGGAAAACCAAAACAAAAATCTCTTCTCTGCAATCCTGAGGGGGGTGATACAGAGGTTATGAATCAATGCCATAGAAGCGCTTTATGATCCTCAGCATAAATGCAAGATTTTAAACTGTTCTGAATGGCTGTGCACAACCGCAATTTCTTGATCCCACTCAATTTGCCGGTAAGGAAAAGATTACTCCTGGATCGGTGTCTCTGCTATAAATTACTGGCAGTGGAAACAAATTCTGGATGCTGAAGTCATAGCAAATGTTAAGAGTGTCAGAAAAAGAATAACAGAGAACAGAGTTAGCTTCAGCTTTGTTCTGCATCAGAAGCAGCCCTCCGCCTCACTCTGTGTTCTGTCACCTACAGTCAGAGCGGTGCCACACAACTGCAGGGCAGGGCCTGTCAGCTCCAGCTCAGCCAGGAAGAAGCCGGACCCTTCCTCGTGCTGGCCAGAGCAGCCTCAGCCTGTAGGGAAGCTGTAATCCCCAGTTTGTGGGCCCACAGCCAGTTGCCTTGGAAATGACAACTTCACTGCAGAACCACACAGCAGGATGGGATGAGAAGTCTGGGGTAAGCATGACAAGCCAAATGCTCCCCGCCCACGTTACTGAGCAAAAGGGTGGAAGAGTAAGAGCCCTGTACGCCGAGCAGCAGGAAGGGCAGCTCATGCAGGGCTGCCACAGGCTGCTCTATACCATCCCAGGCACCAGGCACTGAGGAGATGCCATGCCTGTGAAGTTCAGTTCACCACCCCTCACAGCCGTGCTGCCCTGCAGGTGCCCAGCAGAGACGTGCAGGGTGCATTTATCTGTCATCAATGCCCAGGGAATGCCCTCACCACAGGAATTCAGAGGATGCTGTCTATGAGTTCCAGAGAAACTTTCTCTGACTTCATTATAGTAAAATACATGACGCAATCCACACATGTAGATAAAAAGCATGGCAATACTTGAGAAAAACTGCATGGAACTTCACAAAGGTAGAGCCCACACAGAGTATTACTGATGGAAACCTGCACTGAGCTCAATTCCACTTCTTAACTAAGGTCCCTGCAATGCTCCAGAACAATGTACCGTTCCTCCAAAACTTGAGCATTCTGCAACAACAACCCCTGATGCAGCAGGTCCCAGATCTGGGTAGCAGAGAAAGCCCCAGGCACAGCTCTCACCCATCTGCACCGGGAGCAGGCGAGCCCAGAAAGCCATGCAGGTGCTCAGCAGCCTCTGCACCACTGCCCTGGCTCAACCATCTCCAGCTTGGAGGAGTGCTCACCCTCACAGTCCCCACATCAACCAGCAGAGCTCAGATTCCCACTGATAAAGCAGTCAGGCACCTGGCTGCCTTTGCAGTAAATTAGTGGAATGATTTCACTGCCGCCTTCCCTCCTTCTCCAAGAATATGTTCACCGAAAAATTACCCGATACACCCCATCTGCTGCCCATGCACAAGCGAGTCCTTCACTCTCAGCTGTTCTAACAAACAGTTACTTGGTCAAGGGTAGATCACTTAACCTTTCTTTCTGTTTCTTAATCTTGAAATTATTCAAAAAAGTTTAATTTATCTCAACAAAGGAGCCTTTGTGTGCTCTGAATCTGCAAAGCGTTCAACATAAGCAAACTCTTTGTGACTGCACAGACACACTAACCTGCCATAGCGGGGGGTCAGTGTGCCAGAGGGGCCCTTCCCATTGGGGCTGCTGTGCTCTGGGGCACTCCTGAACTTGGAAGTTGTAGGAAAAAGTCATATGATTCCTTCTGGCCATGCAGTAACAAGAACATTTATATGTGAAGCTTCCCACCCTCTCAGACAAGAAGAGTAGATAAAAAGGGCCTGGTTTCTGATGCTTATCAAATGGAAGCCTTCAGAAGAAGAAATGTGGGAGCAGAAAACACCAGAAAGAGTTGTTGAAGGGAAGTATCAACTACAAAATTCTGGTAGAATGGTCTAAACAAGACCTTAAAAGGGAACGAGACTGCTCCAAATACTGGTACAGCTAATTAATGAAAAGCTTGCAGACAAGCCCGCAAACAGACTACAGCAAATTTCTGCTTCTTTTTCAGCAAGCATCAGCTTAATGTTATTTCAGTGGTCTGCTAATCAAACCATACCGACAAGGCTTGCACTGATAGGAGCAGCATCAAGTTCGCTCCTGACTCTGTACAAGGAGCAAACTGCAAGAGCAGGAACACCCAGTATGCCAGTAAGAAACCTGAAAGCAGAGACTGAAGAAATGAAAGCACAATGAAGAAAGCTCACAGCATCCAGCTGCCAGGCTAGAAGCTCGTACAGAACACAGCGGACCTTGAGAACAGCTTGATGTTTCTCCCGAACACCAATACAGGCCAAATCATTCACACCACTGCTTCTGCACCCACCGGGCTCCAGCTGAGCTCAGTACTCCAGATGAGCAGGGATCTTTACCAGTGGTTGTGCTCTGGACACAAGATGGTGTTTCTGCAGAACCCCAACATCACCACATCACTTCTTCAGGCTAAGCTGCCCTCCTGCTGCTGAGTTTAGTGATTTTTGTTTCCAGTTTTAAAAACGGGCTTTATTTATTTGCTCTGTTAACCCTTGAAAAACAATGCCCTTAGGACCACTGTTTACTACAAATTTCACCCCCTAACTCACTGAGCAGCAGGCCGGCCTGCAGCCTTACTGCTTCACATATGTATGTGAGCACCAGATTCACTGAAATCCTAAATGACATACTTACTCAACATCATTAACTTAAAAATCCTCCTGCTAAACTCACACTAACGTATACGGAATAAGAGCCAAAAAAGCAACCTCTATCTGAAGAATCCATGCTGCTAAGATAGAAGAGTATTTATTTGTTCATATGAATTTAGTATGAGTTTAGAAACGTTGTGCCTAATGCTGCCCTTCAGAAGTGCCACTTCCAGGTCAGCGTGAGCTCTCTGGCTTCTGTGTCACAGTGAGATCAGGGCTGGGCTGCAGTTACTCCAAAGAGTAACTCTAAAGCGTCTTTTTTGGGAGTGGGAGAAGAGGATGTCCATTCATTAAAGCATAAAAAGAGCGACGTAATAGAAAGAGTCAGCAAATCTAACGCTCAGCTTTACCATTCTTGGTAACGGGGTGTAGATCTTTTTATTATATTTCCAAAAATCACTGACATCCCAATTCGCAGAGAGGAGCGCTGCACGTTGGAAGATAACAGGAAAGCCTTCTTTCCTTCCCTTAAGGAAGACCGGGAGGAACTGCAGATCCTCCTCCTGGTAAACCAGAGAAAGCAACAGCCCGAGCCGCAGCAGCAGCTGAGTAACAAACTTTGCCTTGAGTTACCGCCGCCAGGACGGAGAAAAGCAGCGGCGCCTTCTGCCGCCCCGCCGCAGAGAAGAGCTCCCGCCCCGCACCGGGACAAGCGTCCGCCGACCGGCCCGTACCTTATCGTCGTCGGGGGACAGGTTCTGCAGCCGCTCCTTGTCCGCGGCGGCGCGGACCTCCCCGGGGTCGGGGTCCGGGACGGCGGCGGGGTCCGGTTCGGGGCGGGCGGCGGACGGCGTGGCACGGCGCTGCCCGACGCGCAGCGCGCCGAAGTCCAGAGTCTTGCTCTCGAAGGCGCCCTCGACGCTGCAGAAAAGGCCGCCGCGCTTCTGCCGGGGTACGGCCGCCGTGCCCGGCCGCGCCAGGTAGACCGGCAGCTCGTCGCTGCCGCGCCGCCCGCCAGCCGCCATGCCCGCCCGCCTCGCCGCCGGGGAAGGGGCCGGGGACTGGGCCGCGACCGGGGCGGGGGCTTCCCCGCGGGGCGGGGAACGGGCGGGAGCGGGGCGGCCCCAGGGGCAGGCGCGGGGGCCGCTCGACTGGGCGGGCCGGCTGTCGGCGTGTCGGGGCCGCGGTGCCGCCGCCCGCGGGGACGGGAGCGGAGAGCGGGGCCGTCGAGGCCGTCGGCGCGCTGGAGGAGCGGGCGGCCCCGGTGCGGCTTTCCTAGAGAGCGTTTGCCGAGCGGCGGGCGCTAAGCTGAAGCCGCGGAGCGGCGGGCGGCTGACGGGGCGCGTGCAGGCGCGCTGCCCGGCGGTTCGTCCCGACCGTCCGGTCCCGCCGCTGCCGCGCCGGTCAGGGCGCTGAGCGGCGCTGCGATGTGTCCGCGCGCGGGCGCATCTCCGGCCTCTGCGCAGCGATGGAACAGGGAATCCGAGGTGGAAGTTCGGTGCCCATCCCGCTGTGGTTTTGCTGGCAGTGTTCGCTAGGGCTCGCTGCCAACGAATAGGCTCGAGCGTGAGTGCCCGACTATCACAGATGGCGCTTTGGTGAGCTTCTGACTTTACGAAAAGTGGGTGCTGCCTGCAGGCGAGCTGTCACAGGCAGTGTGGCATTGCGCTCACGTCCGCAGTCACTGCAGGAGCACGTTGTCGTTCATACCTTACAGATAGACGCAAGTGATATCTGCTGCAAAAACTGTCATGCAAACACAGCCAGCATAAAAGCTGCATGTTTTGGCTAATTTAAGCTTTGAGATTTCCATTGCAACCTCATTTCAAAAGCACGGGAGATCTGAAAGACAGAGAGGCAAGGCTGAGTTTTAAATATGCAAACTGGTGTTTAACTGAGCCTATCAAATTCATTACACAGCAGCAAAACCGGAGTTCTGACTTAAAATTATTTTTCCAAGCACTTATTTTTTGTTATACAGAACATTTGTACATCATACCTGGGCTTAATATCGTTCAAAGTAATTTCTCACACCCCCTATTTGTGTTCTGTTGTTGACTAAGAGATGTCGTTTTCCAACATTTTCAAGAAAGAAAGCAGAACCGTTGTCTGCCGGTCCTCCAAGGGTTGGTGGTTCTCACACAGCAAAGCGTCCATGGAACCTGACCCCATCACAGAGAACAATGACCCCGCGTGATGGTAGGGGAGGCAGTTTGTGGCTGCTGGCTGACACAGGCCTGAAGTGAAGGGAAATGATTTGGGATTGTTTCCTTCCTTTTGCGCCCTGGGAAGTAGCCTGCATTTGTTTCTGGGTATATACCACAATAACTGACTGTCCCTTTTTTCCCCACCTAAGCAGAACAATTTTCAGGACCTTAAATTTTTAACTAATTATTCAGGTTCAGAGGGCTAGGAAAACAAAGGGCCCACTAGATATAAATATTTATAACCATTGTGTGTCAGTAAACTTGCACGAGTTACTTTTAACGAGTAGCAGAAGAAGGAAGCACCCGTCAGACATCTGAATGAGTTTGCTGCAGTTTCCTCGACTACAGCACAGGCTTTCCATTCGTAGCCAGCTGCTTACTGGGGAGACTGCTGGCACTGCTCAAACCACTGCATGGGAAGCGGCTGCTCAGTGGGTTTCTGCATGAATTTATCTTCTTTGTGCTGCAAGCAAGGTCTGCTGAGCACACGCTGAAAACTGGGCCAGCTTCTGCCCCAGCAGTGGGGGATGTGACACAACTGCTGCTCTCTCCTTGCAGAGCAGCTCCAGACAGCAGGCAGACCCCTGCCAGGTCAGAGCTCTTGAGGAAATGACCCTTCCTTGGGGCAGAATGTGTGCTCTCAGCCCCGCGCTCAGGAGTGGAAGTGTAAAGCCCTTGTTTGGGCAGGGACCCCTCCTATGGCTGTGTACAGAGAAGGAAAATTCCTTGGAACGGGGCCTGGCCTTTGTCTGATTCTAGAAATGTGCAAAAGTTTCTGCACTGTGCTTTAACAGAAATATTTATTTAAATCTTGGTTCTTATGTTTATTCTTCCTAGTACTTTGCAGCAGAAATTACTGCATTGAATTTGTTTGCTGGAAAAGGAGTATGGAGGCTGTTTGAAATAATGGAGGCCTTAAAATGCAACCGTTAATGGAAATTATTCACTGTATAAAAGCCAATTCTTGGTTTTATTTCTCTGCCTTCTACAGCAGAATCTTTAGATCAAGTTGCCATTCACTATTAAGGATCTTTTTGTTAGGTGTTATAAGACCATTTGTGCAAAACTACTATGAAAACTGAGGCTTGGGTTCAGTATCAATGCAATGGCGTTGCTTTTGAGCCCGGAAGAATGCGTATTTCTTTATTTGTATGTCTGCAGATCAGATTTGAAGCTTAACTGCACAATGACAGAATGTTTGTCCTCTGTAATTAAGCGTGATTTCTTCAAATCATATGTTTATATGCCAGCTGGCAAAGTGCTTTTCACGTAGTCATGAGTGGAGTGTCTTCAAATCCTGCTGGCAAACCTGATCTCTCATTGTTTGTCTATGCAAAGTGGCCAGGAGATACAGATCAAGGAGGGGATTCCATGACAAGGCTGCCGTCCCGCCCGGCGCAGGAGGATGCAGATGGCAGCATCTGAACGCCTGTCCTTGGGGGCTGCCACAGGACCTGCCAGAACCACATCAGCCCCACAGCGCATCTCTCTGGTTTCATGACTGCATTCATTTCCTGACATAGAACAAGATTCCCAGGAGTCTGACTGAGCCTTCCTGATGGTTGTTGATGATCATATCTTGAAATAAAAGAAATAGGATAATCTGATTTGGGGAACAGCATGTATTTTATGGGGAATTATGTTTTGTGCTCAAACTTCTAAATTTATGTTCAATTACACTGTCCCTTTCTAGCTGAAGATGAACTGTTTCTGTTAAGCAGCACTCAGAAATGGAGATGAGTCACAGCACAGGGTGAACCATACTAGTTATGAATGGGGGAGCAGTGCAGCCTTCTTGGAAACGTCCTTTAGCCAAATCCCTCTCCAGAAGGATTAGTTAATGCGATGGGACATAATCGCCCTGTCTGGGGTGTGCCTTGTACACCCTGCCTCCTTATAGATTTCCTTTGTTGTTACTCATGTGCTGCAAGAGCACCAGCTGGGTTTCCTGCTAGCACCTGGGCAGGGGATCACAGGCTTCTGCCCAACAACTGCCCAATCGCTGAACAGCCAGGGAGAGGCACCACACGTGATGCAACTTTCACCAGCATTTTCTCAGTGAGGCTGCCCATATAGCAAGAGTTACCTGCTAAGTGTTTAAAAGGGAGTTTAAATTGTCCACTGAATCATTTGAACACCTGATTCCTGGTTTCCAGATGCACTACATGATGTGATTCTGTGTGTAGCAAAACCAGAAAGGAATTAAAAAGAAGTGAGGAATGTCCCATGTTGTGGTTTCTTGCTCACATAATTCCTGTGCCCCTGGGAGCTGCTCGATGCACTGGGAGGTTCAGGCCATGCGGCGAAGGCGAGGCCCGCAGAGGCCCATGCCTCCCTTGTCTCACTAATATGATGGAGGTCATTGGCCCTCACTTTTGTGTTAGACTGCTAGGGGAGCAGAGCCAAGAGCTAAGTAACAGAACTTCACAATGTTTAGTGCTTTGCTCTTTATTCTTGTTTTTTTTCTCTGGAATTACTCAGCCTGTTTAAAGAAAGAACCGCTGGTGGTGGGGGCGCATTTTGGGCTCTGTAGATATGACCACAATGCTCATTTGACTCAGGGAACGTTGTGTTACTGGAAGAAAATAGACTGTTGACTTCAGCTGACAATTGCCCCCTCTGTTGCCAATGCTCACAAGCTCAGGCAAAGGAGAGCCATGTCGTGAGTGAAGACATTTCCTTCCTTCAGCAAGATAACACCAGTCTCTCTATCTCACATGCTTCCCACAGGATTTTACAGGTTGCATTCCTTTGCTACACACAAGACAAGTAACAATGAGATTATCTGAATTAACTGAGTTATCTTGTTTCGTGCTACTCTGCATTCCTTATTTATTTATTCAAGTTTCAGAAGACTGCCAGATAAACAGGATTTCTTTGCTAATTCATTCTTGCAGCAATGTCAGGGCAACTTCCAGCACTGCGTTTCCTGTGCCTCAGGAAAACTGAGGCTGAGCACAGAATAAGTGGAGGAGCCAAACTTGACAAGAAGAGTCTGCTGTCCTGTTTAGATTTAGAGGCAGAGGTCAGAGATGAGTGGCTTCTCCCATTTCCCAAGAAATGGCACACTTGTTGAGAGCAGGCTGTTACCATCATCAGTCAGGGAAGGCAAGTGGATTATGCTTTATCTGCCAGTTCATACTGACATTTACAGATTGTGATCAAATTGTATGTAACCTTTTCTTTGACGTGACAAAGGTTGTGTTGTTGTCTTTGAGAAGAAACCACAGACAGTTTTCCAGTCTTTCTGCTATGATTGTGTCTGGAGGGATGGCAGTTTTTGGAAACGCAGGCAGCTAGAATTGATGACAGCATGGCAATAGTACAGCAATGTTAAATACATCCATGTGTACTCACGTTTGATATGTCTGTTGAGACATCAAAGAACTGGTGATAATTGTCTTCGCCACAGAGTCATGCTGGGAGCTGATGTTCAGCTGATTTAAGATCAGTTTTCCAGAACACAGTTTACTCATAGGAATGTCTTTGTTCCCAAGCATATGAGTTTATGTGGGAGCCTATGAACGTGCCATTTATTTGACTGGGCCCAATCTGGGCACATCTGGTATAGCAGTTGTGCTGCCCTACACACCTGTAGTTAAACAAGGCAATACAGACCCTGTCAGCTCTGCTTCGTGTTGGATATGCTACAGTGGATGAGATAAGTAAATGGGTGAGACTAGAAGGGCATACTTTGTGCTGCTGGAACCTGGCAAAGAAGGCAGGATGGGTATCTAATATGGAAGAGATATGAGGTGGGAAATAAGCCTTTACATCAGGTACTGGTGAAAGATTTCATCACAGGCACAGGCAGCATCTGACAAGCTGCTATAAAGTAGGGTGGCAATTTTAATGAAATATTTCAGCAAAGTCAAAGAAAAAAGATTTGATTGTCAAAAGCCTATTCATCATTTCATGTTAAAGCCACAAGGGAAAGCGGGTTCATAGAATGTTCATATCTGTTTCAGAATTCTGTTCTACTCCTAGAGTGTATTCCTTCTAACAACACATACAGATTGACTTCAGCACGCTCTCAGTCTCCACGCTAACTGAGAACACTTACCTAATGTTAAAACAGATCTATAATCTTCTGTGCTGGGTTATTCCAAGAATACTTCTGAAATGGAGCAATGCCTTTTGCTTCCAGATTTGCTTAGTGCTGAACAAAATCTATAGGAAATTCTCTACACGTTGGATTTTTGTCCTGAAATGAGCTGATAGTCAAAATGTTAGCAAATAACAATTGTGAAACAGGAGTTCAGAAAATTTCCCTTTGGGAAACCTGGCCTCTGCTTCTTTCTCCAGACCTGAAGTGGTCTCCCCTTCAATCTCCCTGCACACAGCCTTGTTCCTAGCCTCAGGAGAGCACACTGATGCTCTACAGCAAAAACAGGTGGTGCATCTAGAGATAATTAGTGATTATATGCCAGTGATTACATGCGTATAATTAGTAATTAGATGTTTACAGAGTAGAATTACAGTGGATTTAAAGGTACAATGTTTGTTTATATGGTTTCTTGTGATTGCAAAAATGCAAGCAGTGAAATATATTATGACCTGGCTGGAGAAGTAGGCAGGAGTTTCCCCGTGCACATTTTCTGTCACTGCCCTACACCTACTGGTACAGCCCAGGACATAAGCACCTTAAGTGCATAAACACTGCAGGAACCAGACTGCAACTGAGAGATCACAGACTGCTTGGCTGTCCATCCAGCCACACAAAGCATTTGCCATCACAATGAAGCAAAAACCTCTTCCCTAAACAGCAGTGAGCACCACCTCACAGGATCTGGAACCTGTGCTTGCTGTGGTCCTGACTACTTGCTGATTTTCACAAATACAGATGAAAATAAGTGGGCTGGGAAAGCATCGTTATCTCAGGACATGTAAAATTGTGCTAACCTCATTTCACGATGCTTAATGTGACAAGAGAGGTGATTCCACTGCCAGCGGTCCTGCATCAGTCTTGGCTCAGCATCAGCCACCAGTGAAGCATTAGCAACAGCTGAGCAAAGCCTTGGCTCCAGCACTGCTTGCAGACTCTGCTTTTCCCCCAGTGAGTCATGACTTTATTGGGATGAACTGTAACTGGAAACAGAAATGACAGGCCAGTGACACAGTGCATGAGCAGCAGGCAGGCTGAGCAGGCTGCTGATGTCAGCGTGACAGGAACCAGCCTGCAAGGAGCAGAAAGAGGCCCTGGCCCAGGAGGGCTTGACAGTAGCAATGTCATTGCTGTGTGTGGAGCACAGAAGTGGGTCCTGGATGCTCAGAATGGGGTGTGGGGCTCCCAGAGGCTAAATTCAGGTTCATTTGAAGTTGCAGGCAAAACTGTTGTCCACTCAGCTTGCGATGCATTTGGTTTCCAGCATTGTCAGCACCACTGTTGCCTCACAGAGCAAATGTGTTACATTGCCTGGTTTATCACCTCAGACAGCACAGTGGGCTCATAAACCCAGCAGCTTCACAGGAGAGGCCAGGGAGACACTGAAACCACCTGCAATGAAACACAGAGACAATTGTTCCTACAGGCAGATCCCTGCTGTTGCTTTCCAAGAGGCAGGAAAGTCCACTCTGCCTCCAGCTCTCCTGTACAGATGCTTGCCTCTCACCAGGGCTCTGGCCCGCTCAGGATGGTTGATAGCAGCTGCTTTTACATCTTTCTATATCCTTGCCATGGTCTCTGCTCACAGTTTGGGTTATAACCTTTTGTTTACCCCCCCCCCCTCAGCAGTGCAAAATACATGGCAAATGAAAAGCGAGATCCAGGTCTTGTAGCAGATTACTACAGAGATTTGTACCGAGGTGACAGATGCTGAGCAAGGACAGAGCCACAGAGGTCAGAATACCACCAGTCCAGAGGAAGTCTGGAAGTATTTCTGCTTTCCACTCCATACCTCAGAGCCATGTAGTAACCACTGAAGTTTTGTCTTCCATCTGTTTGCAGGCAGAGGCGGGGAGAGAAATCATGAGATAGAGATTTATTCCTGTTGGCCTGAGAATCAAAGTAAATCCTGGCTGAAATCCCTCTCTGTTGAAGGAAGTCGCTTCAGGAGAGAAGCATTCAAATGAAAAGATAAGTTCTAGAGATTTTATTTAAGCTAAAACAATCCCCTTGAAGGTTTTATGCAAAGAACAGAGAAAAAGAGCCTAAACACCAAGATCGCCCCAGCTCACAGGGACACCGCAGCCATCCAAGCTCAGCCTTGCGAAGGTAGCTGTTACCGCAGCCTGACATACACACCAGAATTACCAGGTCTGATCCAGACCAATAGTTGCAGCATTCTTCCCCCACCACCATTACAAAACAAGTTGGTGACTGGACCCACATTAGGCAGTTGTCTGTTTTTCTTGTGGTGCAGCCAAGATGGAAGGGGATGCTGACATTTCTCTTAGGGACTGACTTGCAAATGTCATTCGCATGAAAAATTTACCCATCCAAACTTTACTTGCATTTCTACTTCATAGTGGTTCCTGTTAAATGTATCCAAAATAGCAATGATGGTTTCATCTTGCTGTGTTCATCTTGGCTAGGAGAGTAGGTTTTGTCACATCCTTATTTAAAAACATCGTCCCAGCTGAAACTAAAATATATAATAAAGTAAAAGTAAAGCTGGATTAACAGAAATGTGGCTCCATAGAGATAGATCTGTGCAAACCCAGTGCAGTTGAAATCACAGTCAGGCTTGCTATGTTTTGTAACAGAGGTAAACATTTCCTCTTTTTTCATGGTGCTGGCAACAAACGATGTCTGACTCCATTGGTCAGGCAAAGCAATTACGTCTCTGAGGTGCGCTGAGAAGAGGCAGGCAAGAAATAAATATGCTCAAGGCAGTTCAACAAAGTCCTTGATGCTGATACTACTCCTTGCTGTGCAGCAAAATTTTCCTATGGATAAAGAAGGAAAGCAAGACAGTAAAAGGAGGAAACTTTCAGCAGATCTGGGACCAGCAAGTCACTCCCCTCCCCCCATTTTACGAGTAGTTTTGCTCAGGCTGTTTTCACTGCCCTACATAATTTCTCTTTGAAAGTACTGCCAAATTATCCTACAGCTGTTAAGGACTAGTAGGCTATCCCTTCAAGAGAAATGTTAAAATAGATCAAACAGATAATGTCCATTTATGGAGCTTGCTAATTATACTGAAGACAAAAGTAAGCACAGCTTATGACAAAAACAAGTCATCTGTATTACCAAAATCTATCACCAGCACACATCCTGACCTTCAGTTCTTTGCACATGGTCCTGGAATGAGCTGTTCCCTGAGCTCACTTCCAGTTCCTCACATCAAGCCCACATCTCTTTAAGAAGGCCAGAACCCAAACTCAGCTGCGCTGGATGCACCTGGAAGAAGTGAATTAAAAAGGCAGACCTTGGCCAGAGTAAATCCCACCACGTTCACTCAGCCTTAGGCTTGTGGTGCATCCAGAGAGAGGGGAGTTGAGCAAGTTGGTCCAATTTCAGACCACGTGGACTAATCCTGTTTCCCAGCGAAATTCTTATCCGAATAGATTTTCTTCCTGACTGAAGTGTGATGTGCACAGCTGCTAAGGGTCTGCTCCGCTGGGCCGTGATAGGAGGTTGCTCTGCAGCAAACCTTCAAACATGCAAGACGTACTTGCAGGGTTATGCTCCCAGAGTGCTGTAACTTCTGTTTTTTCCTTCTATTTTCCTTCTCTGTGAAGACAGTAGAGACTTCAAGTACTAAACTGTTCCTGAATGCCATCCAGATTTAATTTCAGGACCCTGTCTCAGAAGCTGGAAGAGGAAGCTGCAGGTAAATCAGGATACTGTAATGTCTGCCTGGTTCTGCACTGCTTTCCTCTGCAGAAAGATGTGCAGAGCAGGCAGTGGAGGACTGTGCTCCATTCCACCCTCTGCTGTGCATAACTGCTCCCTGAAAGGGTGAGGCAGTAAAAGTCATGCTACTAAACCTCTAACGCTTCTGGAAGAATAGTTTAGATAGAGGTAAAGTGCTACATGCCCTTACAGGATTACAGACACTATATTAACATTAAAGTTTTGTCTTTATATTATATGTTTAAATCCTCTTTTGTAAGGTCTGAAGGGGCTTTTCCTCATTTCCAGCGTGGTTCATTCATCTCAGTTGCCACGACTTCTAAGCCAGTGTCTCGTCTTCACATACCAGAGGCAGACAGCAGTGAAAAGAATCAGACAGACTCATCACACCACAGGCTCGTTCCTGTGCTCCACAGCATACCACTGTGCTGAGCATCACCACTCTAAGAATTTCAGCAAACGTGAAAAATACAGAGCAGAGAGAGATGATCAGATAAGACACATGCTTCCTTGCCTGAGAGGCTAGAGCCCAAGGCCCAGATTGAAGCATTTTGATGGGGGCACTTTAAGAGCACCGACAAGTTATGAATGTCAAATGGCTGTGAGCTTTATGAATAAAGTGAAGTGCTTTGAAATGCAAAGTTGTAGAAAGCAGCATTCTGGTCATTTCCCTAGGAAAGCGTATGAGTATTGTACCCACTCATGACAAGCTTTGAATGTCTGAGTTTGCAATCAGTCTGCACCCCAGACACACTAATGCCTTGGCTGCAATATATCACAGGATGTCCTGGGTTAAAAAGGACGATGATCATCTAATTTCATCCCCTGCCATGTGCAGGGTTGCCAAACACCAGACCAGACTGCCCAGAGCCACATCCATAGCTTTCTTACATCCCACAAAACATCCCAAAAATATTTTAGGGATTTCAGCTCTGTTACTGCCAAACGTACCATTCTTCAGAGCTTGCAAACCAAAAAGTTAAAATTCTTTCCTTTTTCCCCCTCTATTTTCTCCTCTTACTACAGATTTCTGAGTCGAAGACATGGATAACATGGCAGGTCACCTTTGGCACGTGGTCTTTCTACTTCACTGTTTTTTCCTTCTACCTTTCTACTATTTCTGATGTGCATGCTCTGACATAGAAGTGATTATTTGAGTGTGTGCAAGATGCTTGAGCAGCTTATGTCTATGGTGTGCTCTTGCACAGTGGCTGTCAACATCAGAATATTCAAATCCTTCGTTCAGTGCCTAAGATAACTGCTAAAAACCCAAGCAGCACTTACCATGGTGAACTCTGAAAGTTTCCACATGCTTTGTTGTGAAGGTAAAAATAAAGGCTTGTGTTTCTTGCTAAGCTGGAATGCTCAAATTCTTTTTACAGCCCACATCAGTTAAGCTACCTTAACTGTTCTGGCTGGTTTACCCAGGACAAAGAATAAAGCTTGGCAAACTGGTCACTGTTTCATATACAAAATAATCTAAATTATTGTAGCTTGTCTTTTTATTATGCTTGGTAGATACTGTTGTTCTTAGCAGCAAGATGTCCCAGGGGCTGTAGCCTGTGCTACCTGCCTGAATGCTCATGGAAAATTTCCTCAGGTTTCATTCATGAAAATACATATATTTCTAGATACCTCATGAAAGCAATCACATGGAATATTTCCAAATCTGCCAACTTCCCTTTTCCTTTTTCAGTGCATACTCTCCCTTAATTCAAAAAACCCATCCAGTTGTATTTTAATCATGCCTGGACAAAAGTTCAGATCCTTAACTTGGAAACTGCTGTTGAAAAACATTGCATAGTGCCAGCTGAACTTCTGGAAGGGCAGGGAATTCCCCACTGAAAGGGAAAGGCACCGCTTTCAGACTTCCCCTATCTGCCTCTAGGAAGCAAAGCTCATTATGTTTCCCCTGGACTTCGCAAAGCAGAATAATAATAATCTTGGTTGGTAAAGTATGTTTTGTGTCAGGTTAACATTACTCAACTTCTGGGACAGGGAAAACACAGAGAATGTACAAAAGACTTTATGCTCCAGAAGCTTCTCCATTCAGATCTCTGAATGCACAGAACATAATCAGGGCTATTATAGGAAACTAAGAACTAACGAGTCACTTCTTTAATGTTAGTGCTGAATGTATGCTGCAGTTTGTTCATACAGGAAATAGCCTGCCCCAGAGTGGAGCCATGAAGGAGCAGATGTAGTTCAGCCAAAGAGATGCTGACACACAAGCACAGTTTCTGTTGTGCCTGACTCAAGACTGTAACAACAGAACATACAGAGTCTGCTGTGCTTTTTAGCAATGGAGAGCAGCATCCTTCCCTGCAAGAAGTAATTGTGGGTGGCCTGAGCCACTCCACTGGGAACAGATCCTGGATACAGAACTGAATCATATTAGAGCTACACTGGCTCCTGCAAAGCACTGCAAGTCCTCCACACAAGGCAACTTTGGAACAGATGTCCTTTGTGGGCGCATATCAATCTGCACGTTTGCAGTTTAAAGGTGTTCTGTGGCAGTTAGATCGTGTGTGTGGCTGACTGCAGGAAGGAGAGTTGTGTCCACCATGAACTCACTCTCTTCACTGCTGTCTGACTGAAGTGTCAGCTGTGTAGCAGATGGAAGCTAACGCATATAGACTGGGGAAATGTGAAAACGAGGAGAGCTCCCAGTGTCCCTAACTGGAGGCATGGCCCATCCCATTCAATGGTGAGACTGCTCCCTTTAGTTACTCTTTAAATGCTCAGGAAAGGCCTCTATTTAACTACTTTCAGTATTCACTATGCCACATTTCTTTATGGTACAAATTGAGCTCTGTGTATAGAGAATTGTTAGGAAACCCATTCCAAGACGAGACTGAAATGCCATCTCATTGATAACTCGTCTGCACACTTCCAGAAGCCCAATATCAAAGCACTCAAGCTGGCATTTCACTTTTGGCTTCAGATGGGCCTAAGGGGAGTTCAATCACCAGATAATACACTTGTCCTGGGAAGCATTTCAGCGTACGCCTGTTGGTAAGTGCCAACACAGTTATCTCCTGCTCGAGTTCCTGCTGAAAGCCTTCCTCGCTCTGCCTGCTGCTCGCTGCCACGTTCCACCCTCTCTTACCCTCCTGGACCTCTCAGTGCACAGCCTGCAGGTCCACTGCCCTGGGTGAGCCGCCTGCCCTCCTGCCCAGGACAGTGGTGAAGCGCTGCTCAGGGTGTGGTGAACAGACAGCTGTGTTTGGGGGCTCAGTAATATGATTTCGTGTTACACATCAAGCAAGAATGCAGTAATTCAGCAACTCTGTTTTATGCATCTAAAGGAAACCAGATGAAGCTACACAATTTTTTTTTGAATCTCCAGATTCCTTTTGCAAGTCACCTCATTTTGTAAGTATTCATTCTCCCTGAGTCCTCTGCAGATCAGAATTTAATAAGTACACATAGTTGCTTGGTTTTTTTGGTTTAGACTTCTCACAAGAGCTCCAGGTACCATTTACAGAGAGAGAAAACACCATCTTAGGAGCAGGGTGAGATTCACTTACAAAGCCCCAGCTTAATCCAGCTTGCCAAGATACATCTTCAGTAGTTACAGCATGCAATAACTTACAGTCAGTTATTCAGTGACACAGGACCACAGAAGCCACAAATACTGCTGTAATGCTTTAATGTGATGGAATGCACAGCAATAATAGCAGGGTGACAAAGTCTCCAGCTACAGCAAAAGAGGACAAGCCCAAATACAACAGCCACAATCACAACAGCATAAGAAGAAACTCTGCTTACCTTTAGAAAGCTTTAGATATGCAGGGACCTCCAGGAAGATACCCTTTCCTCCACTGCCAACCCTTAAATGAGGTCTGGGCAGGAATGGATCCTGGCTGCAGCCCTTCCATCACACAGAACATTGCACACAGCTGAGCTCCCCTGGGTTGGCCCTGTCTTCCCACCAGCTGCTCCATCACTGCTTCAAGCTCTGACGTAGCATTTCTGCTACAGCTGCACTCTTAGAGAACTCATGACTGCTGACCTTCACTTCAGCAGATGAGTTAGTGGACCTCAAATGCTCATTTCATACAGCCAAGCAAGTGCTGTAATACATTCAAGTTAATACTTAAATATACCTCCTACTTCATGTCTTGCTTTTTATATACATGTTCTTTTGTGTTTGCCGTTCTCCAATATTGAGGAGAATGTGTATTAATATTAACTAATTAATACTGGTATGTATTAGTACAGAAAATTATACACCTGAATTGCCTAAGACTTTCACCTAAAACTATTTTTCATTTTAGAGAAAATATCTACTTGAATTGTCATCTGTGAACTGTGAAGTAAAACAAAACAGTTGCATACGCAGTTTGAAATACAAACCTTGTGGTTTGCTATGCACATTCCCATCTAGAGGAACACACAGACAAACAGATGTAGTAGATATAGATGTAGTAGAATTTGTAATTATTATGCAGGTCCAATTTCAATTATCTGTAGATGTTTAACAAGCAAGTTCCAGGTTAGGATTATTTGATGAAGATGCTCACAGATGTACTGAGCAACACAGACATCCACCTGCAGGAAACGCATCCAGGAAACGCAGTGCTGTTTGTCAGTTGAACTGATGTTTATAAATCATTCTGCCCTCTGTAGTAAGGGGAGAATATGGTACCTCCTACGTACAATGGCCAGATGGTAACTCTGTGTATTATCAGTCAGGATGAGATCTGCATTAATGTAAGCAACAAGATTACAATTTAATTATTCCTAACCTTAAATCTAAACCAAATATTTTACTGTTCATAGTTTTCCTAGTAAACCATTAATGAATTATATTTGTAGGAATCACCTCTGTTCCATAAAGAAAAAGGTTCATTTTCTTTCCAATTCAGAATCACTTTTGCTCCAAAATAATAATTATTATGCTAACTATTGACAATATTATTGCTGTTAAATACATTATGGCATTCCAGCAAATACCTTAACCCCCTCATAGAATCACAGAATGGCCAGGGTTGGAAGGGAGCTCAAGGATCATGAATCTCCACCCCCCTGCCACATGCAGGGCTGCCAACCTTCCCACTTAGTACCAGCCCAGGCTGCCCAGGGCCCCATCCAGCCTGGCTTTGAGCACCTCCAGGGACGGGGCATCCACGGCCTCTCTGGGCAGCTGTTCCAGCATCTCACCACTCTCTCTGTAAAGAATTTCCCACTGACATCCAACCTCAATCTCCCCTCCCTCAACTTAAAACCATTTCCCCTTGTCCTGCTGTTATCTGCCCTTTCAAAGAGTTGATTCGTCTCCTGTCTGCAGGCTCCCTTTAGGTACCGAAGGCTGCAATGAGGTCACCCCGCAGCTTCTCTTCTCCAGGCTGAACAAGCCCAGCTCCCTCAGCCTGTCTTTGTAGGGGAGGTGCTCCA